GCAAGCTCCGCCTCCCGGGTTTACGCCATTCTCCTGCCTCAGCCTCCCGAGTAGCTGGGACTACAGGCGCCCGCCACCTCGCCCAGCTAGTTTTTTTGTACTATTTAGTAGAGACGGGGTTTGGACGTGTTAGCCAGGATGGTCTCGATTTCCTGACCTCGTGATCCGCCCGTCTCGGCCTCCCAAAGTGCTGGGATTACAGGCTTGAGCCACTGCGCCCGGCCTGAAAACTGAATTTTTAAATTTAAATAACCACATGTGGCTAGTGGCTACTGTACTGGACAGCACAGGTAGAACACAGCAAATTTGTTAAATTTAATGGAAGTTTATTGAAAAGTAACATTTTTCTGAGCTATTTAACTGGGTAATTTAATTGCCCAAATGTCTGTAAAATGAGTTCATAAATACTAAAAATAATTGATTCATTATTTGCTCTAATTTTTCCCCCCAAATTCAGAAGAAACATTGTTAACGTCTGGGCTGCCTCACAGCGGTGTGTCTCACATATGAATGGCATTTATCACGTGTGCAGTAGGAAAGAGATTAAGCATGATGCCTGCATTACCATAATGACACTTTCCATCTCACTTAAGCCAATGAATAATTATCCTTCACAATAGATTCATGAGCCCATAAATGATCTTGCTAATGCTTTCCTTCCTAACATTTATATTTTGATCTCTATCTCTGGGCATGTTTCTCTAATTTATACACATCTATACTCAATCCACAAATGTGTTTGCTCATGGATGTAAGCACATATGTTCCTAAGATGTTTGAGGTATGCCCAGAAAGGAGGGAGACTAATTAGCAGATGGCTCTATGGAGCCATTATCATGCCTTTATAGCCCCATATCATTCATTGAGAATAGATAACTATGTACCCTCTGTGGAGAGAAGCTTAGAGATAGCGATCACATAACAATGCCACTATAAGCGTAGCGATTAATACTCCATTGGACAGGTTCTGGAATTTGATTGGCTGGGTTTGAATTCAGGTCAGCCCCTTGCCTATCTGTGTGACTTTGGGCAAGTTACTTAACCTCGTTGTACTTCAGTTCAACCAACTGAAAAACCAAAACAATAAACAGGGCTCCATCTGAGGGAACTGTTAGAATAGGATTAAAATGAAAGTGGGTGACATCTGGGAAGCACTTCAACCAGTGTTTGGTAAAAAGTAAGCACTGAAAAACGTTAATTAATGTTATTACTATTGTTTTTATAACAATACTTCTATATACTGCTTTTCACATTACAAAATGTTTTCACAGCCTCTGTCTCCTGTTATCCTCTAACAATCTAGAGAAGTAAGAAAGGCACATTAATTACTATGATTTCCAGTGCAGATGAGGAAGTCATGTCTCAGAGATTAGCAGACTTGCCCCATGGTTACACAGGAAACTGCCCAAAGCTTCCATCACTAATGGCCTTTAATCCTCAGGCTCAGCCAAGCACCTAAAGAGAGTCCATTTGAGGCAGCTGGCCAGTTCTGGACCAATAATGGACTATTTTGAAATCCTACTATATGCTAGGGCTTTACTTTAATATTCACCTGTATGCTAACCTTGCGAGGGAGAAGTCATTATCACTGTTTTACAATGAGGAAAGCTAGGATCAGAGAGGTTTAGTGACTTGCCGGAGGCCTTGTAGCAGAACTGGGGTCCAATTTACATCTCTGTGGCTGCCAAGCCCAACTCTTTTCACTCCACCGGACTGCTTTGGTACCATGAGACCCATTGAGGGCTGGGATTTGGTGCCACGAGACCCTTTGAGTGTTGGAATATCTCCCTAAACCTAGGTGGGCCGTGGACATGCATATACCCACAGGGCTGTGCTCTTCCCCTAACTGCAGCCAAGCCTGTCTGGTTAATGGGCCTAAGCTTTAGCCACGGGTGCTAGCTGATGTTCTTTCTGGTTTCCCTCCAGAGGCCAGGCACCTCACCTGATCTGCTCTATAAAATATCTATCTAAAAACAAACATGAGGGTTGCAGGGCACCTTGAAATCAGTGTAGTAGATGACCCAAGCAGTGTGTTTCCAGAGAGAACAAAAGAAATGTAAATAGATCTTTGTGTTTACTGAACAAAGGAGCCTTGCCACAAACAGGGAATTTGGTTTTAACTTTTCACTGACAAAGAAGAAGGTTCAAATTTGTCGGCCATCTGTAGCTGCTTACTTAGTAAGCAGAACTAACAGATAGTCTGGTCCTCAGTTTGGCAAAGACCAGAAGCATCAGAACAGTCTTTTGCCTAAAGAACACAAAAGCATTCTGCGACTGAAATAAAATCAAACAAAAATGCGTTTCTGTTACTGACTGCTATTTTTCCTGTTGTGAACAAGCCTCTGGCCATGATCCATTTTCTTCCCAGAACCAGCTGGGTCCTTCTGTGGTAGCCTCATGGACCATGTTAGGGGACCCATTCTCTCTCTACACCCAAAGCTTGAGGTGACCATTGCTGGTTCTGGACTAGTCATTCCCTTCAGAGAACACCTGGGCATCCCAGCAAAGGTGTCCGGTCCAGAGGGAATACACACTGGACTCATGTAGCAGTTCTGCCACTCACTAGCGATGTGTGTCAGGCCATCACTTTGCCTCCCTGGGCTTTGGAATCATAATCTAGGCCTTTGGGATTGGGTCTGCTTCTTCTGAGACAGTTTGTGTTTCTATATGGGCAGCTGCAGAACAACTGGATGATAGGCAGCAGGTGTCCAGTGAGCTTGAATGCCAGACAAAGCAATCTGGCTTCTATGTATAAACCTGGCTGTTTGTACCTTTTTCAGTGATTTGATTCAGTAGCTCTGATGATATGTGCTTGAGCTATGGAAGATTTCTCATCCTTTTTTCCCTTCGTCCCTAGACTGCAAATGTCGACATGGCAGATGGTAAGTGGGAGGTAGGGTATAGTCTGGCTTAAGGGAAAAGTTCAAGTCCCACTGAATCCACCTCTAGCTCTGTGTCCCTGAGCAAATGATATCTCCCAGTGCTAATACTGGTAATAATGATGATGATGACACTGACAACAATAATGATATCATAATGATGGTGATAATACCTAACATCTAAATGGTATTTATCATCGTGACAGGTATTGTTATGAACATTTTACACATGGAAAACACAGAGGGTAGGGCACAG